CCAGTTACAACTTTGAAAAAAAACCCCATCCATTTAAAAATTTGACTAAAACCCCATCCAGTTCCCAAATTGACTGAAACCCATACAGTTAAAAACTTTGACTAAAACCCTTTTGTTACAACTTTTGCTGCAACCCACCCAGTTACAAATTGACTAAAACCCACCCCAGTTACAACTTGACTGAAACCCATCCATTTACAACATTGACTGAAACCCATTCCTTTTTAAAAACCATAAAAATTGACTAAAACCCCATCCATTTACAACTTTGACGAAACCCATCCAGTTACAACTTTGACTAAACCCATCCATTTTAAAAATTTGACAAAAAACCCCCATCCATTTTACAACTTTGGGAATGAACCCCCATCCATTTTTAAAAACATTGACTGCCCCCATCCAGTTACAACATTGACTGAAACCCATCCATTTAAAAAATTTTGGACTGAAACCCATCCAGTTACAAATTGACTAAAAAAACCCATCCATTTTAAAAACCATTGACTAAACCCATCCAGTTAAAAACTTTGACTGAAAACCCTTTTTCCCCAGTTAAAAATTTGATAAACCCCCTCCAGTTAAAAATTTTGGGACTAAACCACCCAGTTACAACATTGATAAAACCCACCCAAATTACAAATTGACAAAAAACCCCAAACCAGTTAAAACATTGACAAAAACCCCATCAGTTACAAATTGACTAAAAACCCATCCATTTTAAAAATTGACTAAAACCCATCCATTTAAACAACTTTAAATAAAACCCCATTCCTTTTTACAAATTGTAAAAACCCATCCGTTACACATTGTTTTAAAACCCCATCCTTTAAAAATTTTTGGGAAAACTGAAACCCATCCATTTCAACATTAAATGAAACCCCCCATTTAAAAATTTTGCTAAAAAACCCACCCCTTTTAAAAATTAAACTAAAACCCACCCATTTTAAACTTGGACTGAAACCCATAAAATTTACAACTTTACTGAAAAACACCCAGTTACAAATTAAACTAAAAACCCACCCCTTTACAACATTGAGAACCCCATCCATTTACAACATTGAAAAAAACCCATCCGGTTACAACTTTAACTGAAACCATCCATTTAAAAATTTTGACTGAAACCCACCCAGTTACAACTTTATGAAACCCATCCAGTTAAAAACCCTTCCCCCTGCCCCCCTCCATTTACAAATTAAATGAAACCCTTTCAGTTACAAATTTGATTAAAACCCCATCCAGTTAAAAACTTTGACTGAAACCCATCCTTTTACAAATTGACTAAAACCCCATCCGTTACAACATTGACTAAAAACCCTTTCATTTTAAAACTTTGGGACTGAAACCCATCCATTTTAAAAACATTGACTGAAACCCATCCAGTTAAAACATTAAATGAAACCCACCCAGTTACAAGGGTGTTCCCCGGAAATTTTAAACTCGTCGGGGTTTACACAACTGTTTTTGACAGTATGGATAAACACGCCACTTTTAAATAGCCCAAAATCGTATTAAGGTTTCCCCCTTGAGCGAGGGCACGAAGTGAGTTGACAGGGGTGCTGGAGGAGTCTGAAAAAATAAAGCATACACTGCTTTAATAACTGCGAAATTTAAAAAATGTTAGATTGTGAGTAAAACCTGAGAATTAGGATTGTTAGCACAACCAATACGGATTGCTAGTACAACATGGCAATTTGGATTATTAGTACAACCAATCTTGATTGTTAGTACAGCATGATAATTTGAATTATTAGTACAATCTGTTAATTTAACCTTTTAGAAAAACCTGACAAATGACAGACATATATAGCAAAAGGAGAGCTTCATTAGTACGACGTTTCAACTACAATACACGAAGCTTTATCCAGTGCTTAACGAAGCCTCATGCAGATAAAGTCGTACTTATAAAAATCTCCTTGTGTTATGTGTTTTTTTACCACTTGTCAACTACTTTATACTTTAACAACATGATAATTCTTGCCTTTCATATGTCATTCCGGTGTACTGAGTACACAGTCACGAGAGTACAGTTTCCTCTAACACTGATGACGGCAGATAGCAATAACCAATTTACAGCTTAAGTAAAATCATGTTGGTCACTAATGATGCTGTAAACACTCTCAATGCTAAATCGGTTCGGTTCTGTAAACTAGTAGGAAAATGGTAATGTTTTCCGGGAGACTGCAAGGTCTTGAAGCGTGAACAACGCAGAGAAGTCATTATCAAGAACAACCTTCAACAGAGGTTCCTTGATGCTGAAGAAATCTTGATTCAAGGAAGTTGAGATACCCTCCTTTTCCTTAGAACGAATCTGATTACCTTCAATTCCTTACTGTATGACCCCTACAGGTTTAGCTCTTCACCATGAATATACAATGAAATTATTAATAATGACCCAAAATGCCAGAATGACATCAAAATTATTTTCACTGTTTAAAGCGTTAAGAACGGAAGGATGAAAGGGCATCTTTAGGCCACAGTGACTGCAAAGTGGGAGGAAAAAATGAATTGGGAGAAAAGAAAATGGTTCTACAAGGGTTTGGAGGCATAAATTGAAGGGACACAATCAAAGGAATGACAATCGAATACATTAGATTTATTAATAATTGCCATAATTTGTAGGATCGTAGAGGACATGGAACCGAGCAAGGCAGCTGAGAGTGGATATAGTATATATACTCTGTTGAGTATATATACTATAGCTGTTTTTGGACACTTTTTACCTACTCTTTACATCCTGTCACATCACAAGAAAGCACAGATTTTAAAGGGTGATACAGATGGCTCAAATTAGAGAAGAAAATGTCATAATGGTGACCTTTTTTTTTGGTTTGATAAAGAATGCTTTCATGCAATTATTTTTATCTTTCCGATTTTCTACTTTTATACAATGATTAATTTCCACATACCATGCTGCTGTTTGTGAAGCTATAGTAATCAGGATGAAGGGATGGTGTTGGGCAACTATAATTTGGGATGTTTGTGCACGCACGCTGTTAATGACTCCTGACGATGATATAGTATGACGGAGATGTTCCTGTTCATCGCTTCTGAGAACAGATGTTTAGATATTTTATTTTCTGGGAAACTATAAATGATTTTACAGACAGTAGTGTAAACTTGTGTAATGGTTCAAGGAGTACACAGATGTTGTAAGCATATATTAATGTAGATTTAACCTAGGATAATTCAATAAAATCAATGCGACTTATTGATGTATTGTGAACCCATACACTAGAGAAAATGACAGCTAGGATGAGGAAGCAGTTGATGAAAAATACTAACAAAATGGAAAAATATGCATTATTATACTCACAAATAAGTGCTAAACCCTTAGGTGTTATATATAATAGCAGGGGAATGGAATTATTATTATTATAATTATGGGGAGCACTAAACCCGTAGGATTATAGTGCATGGAAGGTAATCATGCTTCATGTCACGGATGGGCAGTTTAAATTCCTTGAAGCAAGAGAAGTGATATAGCATTATTTTCTAGAACTGGTAATGTATCTTGCTACCACTCTCAAGCCATTAAGGTCAAGTTATAATTAAAAGTTTATTTTTTGTTACCTCATTTATTATACACTCCTTCATCCATTTTACATTGTTATTGTTACATAATGCGGTTCAATGTTGTTAAAAAACAGAGAATATAAAGTTGTCTTGCTTTCTTGCTCTTGTTAATTTATAGACAATTTGAACAGATTAGTTAGCTGATTTGAACTTTTCTTCGAAAACTTCTAAATAAACTCTATTTTTGATAAATTAGACACATGTGCAACTCATTCTCCTCCTGTTCTTCAAGTTTCTCCTATGTATGGACTGATGAAGCCACTGTGTGGCGAATCGTTTCCTCAATAAAGATACCCAAGAGTTGCACATGTGTCTAATTTATCAACATGTCGGTTCTCTGAACCATTCATCTACAAACCTGTCAGACACTGCAACTTATTGGGATCTTAATACTTAGGAATTCTTCGCTTGCCTAATTCTTGGGCACGACCTACTTCCACATTGAACTAATGTGACACCACCTATGACTGCTACACCTCTCCTGCCATACGGTTTATAAGCTGCTTCTCCGCTCATCTGCCGTATTCTACTCAAGATTGATGGACTGAACACATCGACTCAAGGTTGAGGGACTGATTACCTCATTCTCCTCCTGTTCTTCAAGTTTCTCCTATGTATGGACTGATGAAGCCACTGTGTGGCGAAACGTTTCCTCAATAAAGATACCCAAGAGTTGCACATGTGTCTAATTTATCAACATGTCGGTTCTCTGAACCATTCATCTACAAACTCTATTTTTGAAGCTTCTGACAAGCAAGGTTAGGCAAATATTAAGATTTTTTTCTTCAAATAATGTTCCTATCACCCATTTCAAACATCACTTTAGAGGCAGAGGCTGAGTAATAGTACGTATAGACCTTCGGCCACTACTTACTTATTTACATGTGTTATCAGCTAATAAGCAATATTGTACTAACAAAAAACTGGTGGGTAATAGTGTCAGCTTCTGGGTATATGAATAAAATTCTGTACGTAAAAACAGAAATCACTTCGGCAAATTTTTCTGTAGTTGAGAAAGACAAAATACAATCACTAGAGAATGTTTATGGGAAACGTTTCGGTCCTGGGACCTTTGGTTACTTCAAATGATCCTAATGAGTGCAATTTGTCTCTTTCTCTATTACTTGTTAGTATCATATACCCTTATATCAAATGTTTTCAGTGTAAATGTGTTATGGTTACTTTTCCATTTGATCTATATCTACAAGTATGTATAGTATACTAGCTCTGAGATGTCTCAGTTTTAGTTTGGACTCGATCTCGGCCTAGATGTACTTCTCATGTTCTCCCACTAAAGTACCAACAAAGTCTTCTTATTGTAATAAAGTTGGTAGAATTACCGACAATATGTAAAGTAAAAGGACACAAGTGCAACTAATGTGACATTTATTGTGGCAACGTTTCGCTCTCTAGGAGCTTTATCAAAGCTTTATCAAGCTTTATCAAGCTCCTGGAGAGCGAAACGTTGCCACAATAAATGTCACATTAGTTGCACTTGTGTCCTTTTACTTTACAAAGTCTTCTTAATTTGTTCCAAAACATTCATGATTAAACAATGCGCGTTTTTATGTGTAGCTGTGAAAGCGAAGTACAAGCGAAAACTAATACGTATTTGTGAGCACATACTGAAAAATATTAGCTGATAGCATGATGAAGTCACCTCAGAGCTCGAGGAAGGGAATTTGACAAATGAAGGAAAGTTGCTGGTTACACTGGTTATCGTTCCAAGCTCCCTGGAAGAGCATAACACAATCTTGGTCATGGTCATATTTCTTGTAGTTGTTGGGCTGTCCCTTGTCCCACTTAAAGTAGCTAGGCCGGCTTCCTGTGGAGGTTAACAGTATTCAAAGTTTATTCTCTATAAAGATTACAATGTTGAATTTACAGAATTTGGTTGTTGTGTGGTTTACATGTAGTTAAATAATGATTACAGAGTGTACCACTAGAACGCCTAGCATGGCTAGGCATTTCGGGCAGACTTAGTTTAATTCTTTATTTTAAAACATTACAAATTATGAGGTAAGTTGGTATTATGGCTAAGTGACTAAATACTAGTTTGTGAGTTTAGCAATGTGAATGCTTTTGTTTTGGCACAGTACATAGTTTCAGTATTGGAGTATCATAGGATTCATTATTTTAAGATTGAGATTAATATTTCTGTTTATGGTCAAATGGATGAGTGAGTGTAAGTGTGAACCACCAGGTGGTATTCGTGTAGTTAGTTGATGGGGTGTATCAGGGAGATAAGATGTTTTCTAATGGTAGTTTTGAAGGTGATGAATGTGTCTGCAGTTCTAGAGTTCTCAGGTAGGGTGTTCCAGATTTTTAGGGCCTTTGACATACATTGAATTTTTGTAAAGGTTTAGTCGGACACGGGGAATGTCGTAGAGATGTTTGTGTCTGGTGTTATGCCTGTGGGTTCTGTCACAACTATCAAGAAAGCGTTTTAGGTCAAGGTTGATATTGGAGTTTAAGGTCCTGTAGATGTAGATTGCACAGTAGTAAGTGTGGATGTACTGAACAGGGAGTAAGTTTAGATCTATGAAGAGTGGGGGGGTGTGTTGCCAGGGATGGGATTTAGTGATTATTCTTACTGCAGCTTTTTGTTGGGTTATTATTGGCTTTAGGTTTGGTTGCTGCAGTTGATCCCCAAGCACAAATAGCATAGGTGAGGTATGGATAAATGAGTGGTATAGTGTGAGAAGGGCATTTTGCGGCACGTAGTATCGTATCTTGGAGAGGATCCCAACTGTTTTGGATACTTTTTTGGTTATGTGTTGGATATGGGTGCTGAAATTCAGGTTGTTGTCAAGGTATAGGCCTAGGAATTTGCCCCTCATTATGTCTGGTAATTAGAGTGTTGTCGATCTTAATGTTAATTTGTGCATCTCCTGCTCTGCTACCAAACATAATATAGTAGGTTTTGTCAGTGTTAAGCGTAAGTTTATTGGCTGTCATCCAAGTCGATATTTTGATCAGCTCCTCGTTAACAATGGTGTTGAGGGTGGCAAGATTAGGGTGAGAGATGACATAAGTCGTGTCGTCAGCAAAGAGAATGGGTTTCAGGTGTTGGGATACGTTTGGAAGATCATTGATGTATATGAAGAAGAGCAGGGGACCAAGGACACTTCCCTGCGGAACTCCAGTATCAAGTGGCCGTGTTGTTGATGCTGTGTCTTTAATGGTAACATACTGATACCTATTAGTAAGTAAGATTTGAAATAAGCAAGCGCATGGCCTCTTATGTTGCTTATTTCTGCATATTTAAATACATCAGTATTATACATGTAGGCAAACAGCTTCACGCATACACCAGTACATACATTCTCACACCAACGGAACTATTATATTCATAAAAACGCATTAGACCTGCGTGATACACAGTAACATACAATACCTGAAAAATCTATCTTTATCTCAGACCATAAAACGCACTCTTTTTCTTCTCCTCTAAAATTTAAGATAGAAAGGGAATGGAAGAGTAGGTTGTGGAACTCACCATCAGAGAGTAGCCAGTCGCCTTCTTTGTGTCGGTCAGTCAGACCAATCCAGTAAGCCTCCCTCTGTATGCTCTTCAGTACCACTAGTTGTTGCTCCTCACTCTGTGACCATAACAGAATTAATAAGTGGTGGGATAAGGGAGGTGTGGTGGAGCAGTGTATGTAATGGGTTTCTAGCTTTATATCAAGAAGTATAAACAATAGAAGCCCCATGGTTAGACTTCAACTTTAGCTTTAGTTAGGCCTTATTTACATTATGCTGCTCAGTTATGATCTCCACATTACAGAATGGACATAAATTTGCTAGAAAACATATAGAGAAGGATGACGAATTTGGTCTCATGTATCAAAATTTTCCTGAGATAGACTGAGGACACTGAATTTATACTCTCTGGAAAGGCGTAAAATTAGAGAGGATATATCTGAAGTGTTTCAATGGAAAACAGGAATAAAGGGAATAATAATAACGTGCTGAAAACATATAATTACGGCAAGATTCGCAGAAATGGGTTCAAGATGGACAAATTTAGGTTTAGAAAAAATATAGAAAAACACTTTT